CCAGCACATTCACACAAGTAAATACAGACATCAGACACATCCACACTGAGAACCGAAACAGTTGCTCTTCAAAATACTTACCTCCACCGCATGTCATAATGTAATGTGCTATTTCCTACACCACTTTTCAATGTTTGTTGAAAGCTAGCAAGATGATTTTGCATCTCAATAAATGGCCAGAAAATGCAATGTAGCTGCTTTACCACATACCAGCTGTGTGACCTGGGGCAAATTACCTAACGTTTTGTGCCCCGGATCTATGCTAGCAGATGCTGGTAATGCTTCAGTGAGTTGTTGAATGGACATGAAAAGCACCAATAAAGTGCTTAAAAATGAACTCTTTCAGAAAGAACCTGAGGCTTTCTAAAACTGAGGCTCTGAATAAGAAAAGCAACTTGTCCAGTCGTGGCCGGCTGGTAGGACCTATCAGGCAGCCTGGTGCTGCAGTTCTGAACTGGAGCACTGGCAGGACTACACAGGCTCAGATCCCCGCTCTGCCACTTACATGTGCAAGCCTCCAGCCCACAGCTGTAACCACGATGCCCTACTGGTTTTCTGTAGAACAAAGGGACATCACTTTCACATGAAACCCTTTCTTCAGACAACCTAGATGATCCCTAACCCACCCTGTTTCAAATTCTAACTGTTCTCATTTCCATTAGGCTGCCAACTCAGCTACCCATCCAGTTACAGGTATACTTAAAACCCACTGTGTCAGGGATAGTGACAGGAGACACACTGGTGAGCAAACCCAACTATGAAATATATAATTTTATGTGGAGACATTTGAAAAAATACTCAAACTCATTATTTCAACAATTATTTATTGAGCACCTACTAAGTGCCATGCACCATGGCAGGCCCATGAGAATACAGTAGTCACCAATGCAGAGCATGTCCCTACCCCTCACGGAGCTTACAGTCTAGCATTGCAGTCACCCAATAATCCCCTAATAAAGGTCTCACTACAGACTGAAGTCAGTGCCTTTAGAAAAGAAATGAACATGCTAGAACATGAGGCCCTGGCACAGAATAGAACCAGCCAGGGTTTAAGGATGCTTAGAAAACAAGTGAGGGCTGTGAATCGTCAGGGAATAAGACGTTGTTTGTGAGCACAGAGTGGGAGATAGTTAAGCCTGAGAAATCTAAAGATTCACTCAAGCAGAGACTCCAAGTTTGGCAATTAGGATGAAAGAACAAAGAGAAAGAGAAGGGCCAGCGATGTGGAGGAACATTCATAGGGTGTGGTCCCAAGGCCAGGGACAGAGGCAACCTAAGAAGGGGTAGTCAGCCATTTCAAGAAGAAAGCCACAAACCCTCTCAGTTTGGCCAAAGCCAGAGACTAATAAGCATGTGGGATGAGAAAATGGACAAAGCAAGTGCTGGTGGCTCTCCAGGTGAAGGGGACAAGGGTAATTACCACATACTGACCAGAAGCAAAGGGCAAGGCGGCTTGGTGATTAAGGCAGAGACTCTGGCCTGAGGCTAGGTCAACAGAGACGATCAGGTGAGAGGGACAAGAAAAAAAAAAAGGCTGACGAGATAGAAATGGGTTCTCATGATCTCAGATTCTGGAGCAAATGGCAGAACATGAAGCTCTGGAGCAAAAAACAGGGACTAGCTTAAGATGGGAACAAGGGACCCCTCCTCACCTACAATGTGAGGGGTGTCGGTGTTCAGACTTGAGAGCTCTAAGCATAGGGAGTTCTGTTCTTACAGTTTCTATTATGTTTGAGGAAGCAAAAGGTAAAGAGCACTTGAAAGGGTCCCAAGAAAGAGCCAAGGACACACAGGACTATGGGACAGGATGGAATGTGGTCCTGAATCAGGGGCTCAAGTGCTGGGCTGTCTGGCATTCTACAACTTGGCTTGCCTGCACTGATCAGTGCTATGAATAAAACTGGGGACTTAAAGAGGTTAGTCTGTATAAACTTCCCTAAGGAAACCCTCTTAGAACAGAGGGGTCTACATGAGGAGAATATGAGGAGTGCAGGACCCACATTCTTGGTGAAGTAAACAGTATGAGCAATGACCCCAAAGCAAAAGGAGCAACAGAAGGGATATGGCAACAAGAGCTCAGGAACAGAAACCAATGCAAAGCAAGACTAGATGCTAACAGCAGCCAAACTGGCAACAGCGAGGATGTTTAAGGGCCGGACAGATGTTTGTTGATCTTTATTTTTAAGAACAGGATACCTCCTCAGAGTGTAAAGTCAAGACAGACCAGAAGGGTTCCTTCCCATATCAGTCCAAGCACTGAGGACTCAAAGCCCTTTTTTCTTAACTCACCCAGAAAAGAGGGATTCAAAACAGTCTAGCTCACAGACACCACTGTTGAAAATAAGAGAAACTACACAAAAATACTCTGCAAAGTGCCTAGCAAAGAAGCTCAGCCACGTGTCACTTGGTAAAGCCTCACATATGCCTTGCCACCTGGCTCTACCACAGCCCTTTGGGTATCTTAGAACCAGTCTGTATCTTCTCTGCTTGGTCCTAACACTGTGCTCAGCACATAACAGGCCCTACCAAAAGTGGTGCTGCTGGATGATCTCTAAACCTAATGGATATGGAAAACCTGGTCCAGCAACCCAGGAAGAGCAGCCATTTAAGCCTCTGGATATACCCTCACGGCTACCAAACCTTTCTCCTGACCCAACCTGACAATACCCAGCTGCGCAATGGGCCTGCAGCCAACATTTCTGAAGCCCTCTATAGCAGGCCTCCCACCCACCGATAAGGAAAGGGTATCCCCTGAGGTCCAACACCATTTCCCCACAGAGATAGATCACAAGAGGTAGCTGTTCTTCAACAGCACTTCAAATCAGCAGTAGCACACAGGCCTTAGAACAATAATAAGTTGAAATGTACTTGCTAGGAAAGCCACCAATCTACAAAGAAAACCTTATCGCTGATCTTGCAGTACACACCAGCCTCCCCTTTGCAAAAGCTAAGATCAAAAGATAAAGAAGCTATCAAAAAGCCATCTGCCCACTTAAAATAACATCTCAAGTCACGTTGGGAACCACAAACATGGGGCCAGCTACCAAAAAAAATTGTCTAAATGAACTACTTCAATTTCTCCTTAAAACCACCCATGTATTTTAAAAGAAAAACACCCTCTCCACCCACCTTAGCCTGGCAAGGTTTTGATTTGTCTGTTCTCTTCCTTTCACACTCTTGAAAATGACCAAACTTCAGTGCCCAAACTATCATATATTATAGACAGGGCGCCCACAACTGCCAACTGGGATGAGAAGTGATGATTGAAATGAAGGCAATTCTGGGGACACTCAGTCTCTTCATTTCGGTGATGGTTATACAAGTACATACACATGTGGAAATCTTCTGGGCCATGCACTCAAGATCAGCACGCTCCATTCTGGTATATCTCAATAAAACATAAAGCACATGTGACAGGTACAAGGGAAAAAAGGGGGAATAAGAATGCCAACAGTGAATCCAGAATTTGCTTTTCAACTAGCATCCCTAACATTTCCTCCCTGCCATTCACTAGCTAAGTGACTCTGAGCGTGCTGGAGCAGCTCTCTGAGCTCCCCATTTCCCCCTGTTAACTAGGAATCAATATAGCACCAACAACAAACAGCATGTTCAGCTGGCCTCAAGAGAATGTACCTACAACTCTTACCAGAGATCAGTAAATGCTGAGCACCACAGCTACAGATATGCCTCAGTTACCTTGCCTACAGTTGCTGCATCCAGTTCAACCACTAATGCTAATACCATTCCTCTCTGACAAAGGAGGAAACTGAGACAAGACCACACAACACTGTGTTTGGGAGACGAATCCATGCACTGTACGTGAACATCTAAACATTAATGCTAGTTAACACCGCTACGGCTCAACCCTGACTGCTTTTATTCATCCTGTGCAGTTGGTGCCTTCATTACCTATTTTACAGATGAGGACATAGTTATTTACAGAACAATGCAGTTAAGAATTGGATAAGGTCTCAACGCTAGAAAGTGGCAGGCCTAGGGTTTGAACCCAGGTAATCTGATAGCAAAATCTTAACTCTTCAAGATCTGTCAGCTAAGAACTAAACCTTTCAGAACAATTCACAGCCTACGCCCTTACCACAAGCAGCAGATCGCACAACACCCTGTTCCATCATGCACCTTCCATGGGCCAAAAGAGCAACCTCCCATTCCCCTTTCCAGTCCTCATAGGAGGAGGAAAATGTAAGCAATCCATACAGAATCTAACTGACCCCAGGCATCACCTAGATGACCACAAAAGAATGAGGCCTAGCCGTTGCCCTTGAAAAATGTATAGCCCTGGTAAAGAAGACCTAGAAAAAGCAATTTATCAGTCTCCTGGACATAAATGGTTCTTCCCAGCCCCTGAAGTTTATAAGTGGTATGCAGAGAGAGAGAGATAGAGAGAGACAGACAGACAGACAGAGAGAGAGTTGAGCTTCAAGTCCACTTCTCATCTGCTACTGCCGAAGCTAATACTTCCATATGAGAATACGGGCTTTAGCCCCTCACCTCTACAGGGAGCTTCAGACTACCAGAGGAGCAGTAAGAAAGTGTGCATAGACTTGAAGGCCAGAAATGGTTGAAACTAGAAAGCCAAGTACCACCACTTCCTCAACCAGTTTATCTACCTCTGTAGCTCTGACTTCCTGCTAGGTCAGATAGGAATGAGATTCCACTCCCCACACTGGGAGACCCTTAGTCCACGCCATCACACCACGCGATCTCTCCGCTACAGCACATTGGCTGTCATTCACACCAAATTCATAACCACCTCAGCTTCTCCAAACTTGCTGTTCCCGATACCTACATCTTCCTGCCATGTATGTACCCCACTGCTCCATCCCACTCGGGACTCACTTTAAATGCCACCTCCTTGAGCAAAGTCCTACCTGTTCAATGTTCTACCAACTCGCTCTTCCATAACTTCTAGCACCGTCTGGGACTCTTCACCAGAGCTCACCCTCAACTCGTTTACAGCAGCCACTCCCTCCAGAGCCTTATTTTTCCTCTCAGCACTAACCTTAGCCCTATTTATCTTATCTGCTTGTTTACTTTTTCATACTGTTTTCCACAGGAGCCTTGCATGATGGCTGAGGACAGGGAAGGTGTCTGTCTTGTTCAGGGCTTTATAGTGGAACTCAATACATGGATGATACCCCAGTATTTAAAGCAGTGCCTAGCACATGTTTGGCCTCCACTACTCTCTGACCGAATGCACCCTCCTGCCAGTCCTAGAGAGCAGGCCTGGGGGGCTCCTGGGATGGGATGCTTGTTCTCCATTCTACCTCCAGCCCTGCATTGGCGGAGGTGGCGCTGGCAGACATTACCTGCGCCTCACCGGCTTCATGCAGCTCTTCAGCTGCCTGGCCTCAGCCTCCACAGGACCCTGGCACTCAGGCTGTGGCTCCAGCTGCTGCAGCTGCTGCTGCTGGGGCAGCCCTTCGACATCAGTGGGTGTGGGAGCGGGTGCGATCCGGAGCAGGACAGTATAGTTGCGGCCATGGTTGTTGGCCCAGAAAGTGCCCTCGGGGGTCTCATAGCGCACCACGAAGTCAAGGCGCGCCCCATCGCCCGCGCCCTCAGCAAAGGGCAGCTGGAAGGCAAAGCGGTCAGTGCTGCCACCGTCGTCGGGTGAGGAGGCAGACATCTGGCCAGGGCCCAGGCCTAGACCCAGATCCAGGAGGGAATCTCCTGCTCCTGTTCCTCCCACTCCTGCCCCAGGCGGGCTGCGTGGGACATAACGCGCCGGGTGGTCACAGAAGGTAGCCCAGCCGTCGAGTGAGGCCCGCACGTGCACCGACTTCTCGAAGGAGCGGTTCAGCACGCGCACCAACCCACGAACCACCGGTGGGCGCCCCCCAGGCACCCACACCCCGGAACCCCCGGGAACCGCTCCTGGAGGCGGCAGTAACGCCTCCAGCTCCACCATCACACGCCCCAACCGCTCCAGACGGCCTGGCGCGGGTGGCAACGAAAATGTGGGCACCAAGTAAAAACCCCCGCCAGCGGGAACGGGGCACAGCGGCGAGGGATCAGGACAAGCCTCCTCTTCCTCCTCCCCTTCATCCCCATCCTCGCCATCGTCGTCCTCATCAGCCCCGCCACCGCCGCCATCTTGCCCGGTCGCTGCCGCCATCTTGCCCGCCCCGGGCCCGCCCCACGGCCGGTAGCGGCGTAGCTGCGCCAGAGGCAGCCCCAGGGCCTCGTCAGCAAACAGCACCCTCCGCGGGGCCACCGCCGCCTCAACCAAGGCGCGGGGCTCTCCCGCAGCCGGCGACGGGGGCGCGGGATGCCGCAGCGGTGGCTCCACAGGGGCCGTGCGCGCCATATCGGCGGCGGCGGCGGCACCGACGGCACCGGCGGTGGGACCGGCGGGGCCCAAGGCCTGAAAAGGCGGGCAGCCAATGGGAAAGCCAGAGCACGGGGGTGGGGCTCCAGTGGAGCGTGGGCGGTGAAATGAAGACAGGTACAGCCAACAGCCAATGGACAGGCACGCGGGAGTGACGTACAGTGACTGACGAGCAGGAGAAGCAAGCAGCCAATGAGGATGCCCGAGCGTGGGCGGTGTGGGAGGCGGGATGATCACGGAATCAATGGAAAGGCCCGAGTGGAGTTAATGCCAGGACCGAAGATGTACCTAGCAGAGGCATGGCAATTAGTGGGGAATTCTGGGCGCGAGCAGCATGGTGGGCAGCGGGAAGATGAAATGGCTACAGGCGATGGGGGCAGCTGGCAGCGAACCGGGAGGTCCAAAACCTGGGAGATCCGCAGGTTGCGTAGGCGGTGAGACGTAAAAGATAAAAAGAATGGCCAATGGAGAACTGCACGAGAATGACGTAGAGGCAGGATGACGATAATGGTTGCTAAGAGCCAATAAGGAATCTTGTGAGCGTGCGCTATGGCTTTAAGGGGCGGTAACCATGTGAATGTAGCCAATACAGAGACTGAAGGGAGGCTGGAGGGCAGTGTGTGAGCAGATACGAAGGTGGGACTGTAGTGACATGAGCCCTTGGGCATGTGAGGAGAGAAGGTGGAAGCGAGAAAGAGATAGGGAGTCAGGGTGAAGGCTGTGAGATCTCAAAGGACAGTACCAGTATGGGATTAACCAATGTTGAAGCTGGCGAGTGTAGCTGGACAGAGACTTAAGAGGCAAGATGGGAAATCAGAGCCAAGGGTGGAGGTGGTGTGAAGGAACGCGTGAGTAGCCAATTAGCAGGTTAAAATGGAAGAAAGCACATAGGTTGAGCCTGAGCTGCTGAGTGATTGAGTACAGAATCAGAATTCAGGCAACCAGATTTACCTTCTCCCTAACTTTCCATGACTCCCCATGGCCCCACGAATTCCCAGAGCCCCTAAAAGCCTAAACTGTACCATAGTGTGAGACCAAAGCAAACCATCTCTCCCATCAGTTACTGGGTGTGTCCAGTCTGCCCCACCACCACCACACATACACTCTAGCCTTTTCGTGAACAGTGGAGCTAGCCCAGAAGGCTTGAAGGGATTAGTTTTGTCTAACTTACACTCAGCACACAGTATGTCACCACGAGTTGATTAAACATGCTGATAGACACTGGCTAATGTAACTTCAAATCAGAGTCCTTCCCTTCTTGCTCATTTTGACACTTTGTAGCCCACAGTAGCTTCTTCTCCCCCTCTTTCTTTCCTCATCTCTGTTGAGACTGTCTCCTCTGCCCAGAGTGCTACTTCATCCCTTTCTCTCATCTAGCGAATTCTTTTCCTTCTCCCTTTGAGGCCTCACCTCCTATGAGAATAGAATAGATTCTGCCAACATGTTCATTCACACATTCCCCACACCCCTCTTACTAACTTACGTATTAGGACTTACTAAATGTCTACCATATACCAGGCTCAGGGAATGCTTTTCTGTAACCCTCATAACACCCATAAGAAGGCCATCTCTTGGCCTCTGCAGTTTCTTTGCTTCTCCAGTCTGTGTCCACAGTCATGAAAGGAATATGTCCAGCTCCAAGGAGGAGAAGAAAAATGACATAATGAAGGCTTAAACAAGGTGGAACTTTTCTTTATTTCTCATCTGAAAGTCCAAGGCGGCAAGTGATCCCTGGGCTCCATCCTATCTGCCCATTTCAGGTATCAGCCGTGCCCTGCTCTTGCCTTGGAGTCTCATTCTTTAGCAAATCCTGTAGGTTCTCTCTCCAAAGCATCTCCCAAGCAGGATATGGTGATGTATGCGTGTGATCCAGTACTCAGGAGGCTGAGGCAGGAGGATTACCGAATGCAAAGCCTACACTACAAGTGGGACCTTGTCTAAAAAGTAAAGATGGTTAGGTGCAGCTCAGTGGTAAAACCACTTCCTAGCAAGTGTATAAGCCCCATCTCTAGCACCAATTTTTTTAAATCCCAAGTCCATCTTTTCAGTACCATTCTATCAACAGGACCAGCGCCGATACCAGTCACTTGGACTACTGCAGTGCCTCTTCCTGGTTGGTCTCCATCCCATGCTCCTCCTCTCTATTCCACACTCACCCATCTAAGAAATCCTCAAGTCCTGACAATAATGTCTCTTCTCTGCTCCCAACATTCCCATGGTTTCCTCTCCACTTAGAGGAAAAGCCAAACCATCACCATGTCATAAAAGACATAAGCTAACTAGTCCCTCTCTGACCTTACCTCATGCTCCTCTTCCTTTCACTCACTTCACTCCAACCACACCAGATTCCTTGTTGGCCCTGTGACTCACCTCAGGGCATTTACACTTACCCTTCCCACCCAGGTCTACAGATCTCTCCATGGCTCTCTTCCTTATCTATGCCAGGTCTTTGTCAAAGATCCCTTTTCCTGGGGACTTTCCCCCTGACCTGTTAAATCCTACCCATTCATCTTCAACTCCCACCCCTCCCAACCTCTTCCCTAGGATCCTACATAACTGGATATAGTTACAGTGGAGAGGAGGTACTGTACTCTTGACAACCTTACCCCACAGCCTTTATTCTGCAAAGTCCATGGCTTTACGCATCAGTAACCTTACCCTCCCACATTTGAGGCCCCACTCAAGTAGCCTCCTGAGAATCTTTGTGTCACTTATCCTCATTCACTTTCCCTGCCATCTCTCTGACCAGTCTTTTTCACAGAGTGGTAGTAACAGGGAGATGTTCACAAAGATATAAAGGAGGATGCAGATCATACCATGGACCCTGAGAAAATGAAGTACCTATTCCAGAAAGAGCCAGGTGCCAGAACTAGAACTGTCTCAGCCACATAGAAGATATGGGGACTATTTGGGCTAGAGTCTACAGGGAGCAGGGGGCATTAACTATGGGGAATACATAGAGTACCTCCCTTGTCTTCCAGCCACCACACAGGCCATATTTGGTCTTAGCTGCGTCCCACCAACTTAGAAGGCCCAACCAGTGAAAAGTTTTGCTTTGAGCTAATGCTAGGTTGGGTTGAGGGTTTTTTATTTATTTATTTTTTATCGTTGTTGGCTGATATTTTCAGGTCTTTTTTTCCCTTTCTTGTCTTTATAAATCCAGGCCATCAGTTCCACTGTTGTTGTTTTCTTTTTTTTCCCAAAAAGGTGAGTTAAGTTGAGGAAAGTCACTCTGTTTTGTGTATAATGGGTAGTGGAGAGACTTAAGAAAATAGGGAGAAGGAAAAGTGACAAATGATGGAACAGGCACAGGGTGGGTATTGGCCACTAGGTTGGTATCATGTGTAGAAAAAATTTATTGCTATTTTTTCTTCCTCAGGCCTGAAGCCAATCTTGCAAAGAGGTTGCCTTGGGCTGCAGTTAGATACCTTCAACTCTTAGCTCTGTGTGGTGCCAGGACCCCAAAGGCTAGAAGCCTTGCCTGCACCTAGTCATGGGAAATGTCTATTGTTGGTGGGAGCAGGTATGTACCAAATCGAGGAAATGCAGCTACCAAATCTTGAATAAAATGTTAAACACCTCACAGACATCAAGCTTCAGAAGAGTCTCCAAATCCCAGAACTTCCCTGGCATTGAATCCTAGAAATTAGAACCCTACCCTGTTATCAGGAAAAACTGGGCATTTAAGAAGCCAGTACTAAGGACCCCTATTTTCCATCCTTGTGATCTTAAACAAGCAGCACCACCATTTTCCCCATTGGTATCATAGCAATAGAGTAATGATGAGATGGACCTCAAAGTGTGAGGATTGAACACAATATTTTGCAAGAAGTGTTAAGCGCTGTGTCTGGAATGCAGAAAATTCTAAATAAATGTTGGCTACCAAAATTATGGCAGTTATTTAGATTCCTAAACCTTTGCAAACTGAAGCTTTTCTTTTCTTTTGTTGATTGTGGTTTCTGAAACAGAATCTGGCTATATAGCCCCAGGCAGCCTTAAACTCTTGCTCCTTCTGCTCAGGGTGCTGCGATTACTTGTGTGTGCTACAATGATGGATGAAACTGGGGCTTCTCAGAGTACAATGTTGCAAAGTCTGGCAGGCAGTTCAAATCATCAGGCTATGGTTATAGTGTTCCTGACAGGAGGGGACCCTGGGCTGCTTTGTGTGTGTGTGTGTGTGTGTGTGTGTGTGTATTTTTTTTTAATAACACAGAGACGTGTGCATGTTGAGCAAGCCCTCAGCCACTGAGCTGCATGTCCAGCCTTTCCTCCGCTAACCCTTCCTTGTGATGTTGGATGTATTAATATGGGGCTGTTAGGGCTCTTCCCAGGTGGGTGGCTGCGAGGTCAGAGTGCTCATGCATAGACATGATATGGAGATACCTTCCTCCTCACTCAGACTCTGCAGATTCTGGGAGTCAGTGATTCTGAGACTCTTTGATTCTGTGAATTTGTGGTGGGAGTACACCCCACTTTTTTCTCCATGAATCACCTTACATGCCTCTTGCTTTCTATGGGAAGAAAGACTACAGGTGTGTCCCAATCTCCCAACCCTTGGCAACATGAATGGTGGTGATCACATTAATTCTACCTGAGTAAAAACTGAGGCCTGAAGCAGGATGAAACTACTGGAAACCAAGTACTATTCCAGGTCTTTCTTTGCTGTTTCCCATCCACATGTCGGACTTCAGAACCCTTCTTCTGTTCAACCCAGTGATCCTCAAATATCTCATGCACAGAACAATATGTCTACCTGCCTAGGGATGTCTTTGTGATTTGAGTTATTTTTCCCTTATTTTTTTTTTCTGACTCTACACACTTTTGTGGTTTCTCATGAGCCCTGTTATCTCATTGATACCTTTTACCCTTGTGGCGAGGGGAAGAAATCATATTTTCAAATGACTTGTAAAGGGCAAAGAAAAAACCCAAAATTTCAAAATTTCCGTTTAAGTCTCATAAGAATAAACAAAGCGAGAAAG